CAGTATTCAAAATACAGGATGGCCACCAAATGTAAAACACTGAGTGTAAAATAATATCAGTTGACCTGTCGTTTAGAGACCACAAGATAAATGTTGTGAAAATTAGACTGATGTCGTGGTAGATAATGAGAACGTTCAAAACAGTAGAAATATTGCCAGTGATGGCGCTACTCAAATCGCTTGTGTTCTCTCGACTGGAGCACTGTTCTTTGTTGACGACTCCATTTAGAACATAAGATATCAGAGCTGAAACAAATACAGAGATTCTTTGCAGCTGCTAGAGCAAGCAAAGCTAACTATGGAAATAGCCCTCGAAGTGCATTAGAAATATACTGTCGGAGCAGAGAGACAGAGATACGTGATAAATGTACATGTGGACCAAATGTACCGTACCTGCTCACTGTCAATAAACGAGTACTGCGTAGTGAAAGAATGGAAATGTGTAAATTAACATTTTCGTGAGATAATGAGAAGTCACGTAGAAAATAAGAGGACACTATTCAACCTTGTGTCCCGACTATTCAACATTTTTTGTCAGACTATTTCAGAAATAAATCAGGCGAAACAAATGGTGCGCCCAGAGCAAGGCAAAGCATGAACTACCGAATGCCCGAAGTTTTGACACTATGACTGTCTGGAGCAACCAGACGAGAGATACGTGATATATGTACTGTGGACCATGTACGTACCGCCACTCATAACAAGTACCTGGAGTGAAAGATTATGGAAGTACAATTAATCAATTTGAGGTCAGAGGTGCGTGACACATAAGAGAACACTATGTAATCGTGGTCCAGGACTATTCGGATTATGTAGGAAGTATGTATACTGCGAACAAGTGTGGAAGAGAAACCACCATTATCTCACAACTGCGATCACAGACTGTGTATGGATGTTTGGACCACTGACGCCGCTCATCAACAGCTGCGTGATAGTCAATCACAGAAGCGTCGCAGAATACACTGTTAGAATATGCCAGGTATGGGGGTATGTTCACATTGTCCGATATACCTGTTCCTACAGGCATGCACGTGCTCTCTCTCTCTCTCTCTCTCTCTCTCTCGTTCGCTGTCTCTCACGAATGAGGAATCAAAGTATTTTATTGCTAGGAAGCTAGGGAGGTGGTAATTATTTTATTGATTGTTTGTAGGATTTTATTGATTGTTTATTGGATTTATTGATCTGCACCTGGTTAATAAAAGTCCAAATTTGAATTTCGTGTTGTTTGTATTGACCAAACTGAGTATGAGGGAGTTGGTATGTGACCTGGTCTGGGGCCGGGTCGTGGGGACAAGGACCGCTGGTCTGCGGCCGGGTCGTGGGGGCAGGGACCGCTGGTCTGCGGCCGGGTCGTGGGGGCAGGGACCGCTGGTCTGGGGCCGGGTCGTGGGGGCAGGGACCTGGCTGGGGCCGGTCGTGGACAGGGACCCTGGGTGGGCCGGTGTGGGACAGGGACCGCTGGTCTGGGGCCGGGTCGTGGGGACAGGGACCGCTGGTCTGGGGCCGGGTCGTGGGGACAGGGACCGCTGGTCTGCAGATCGGTCTGGCAGGACGTGGTAGGGGCCGGTCTGGACAGACGCTGAATGGCTCCAGTAACTTAATAGCACCTTTATATACTAACATTATTGATTCCTGTTCTCTCCAGCCCTGCCATACTAGCTCTTAAAACTGTGGGTTGTGATGTTGCTCCACGTCCTGCCTGCCCACTGAGAGGGGACTGTAAGGGGATTGGGGGGGGGGTTAAAACAAGAGTTCCTTGTTCCTTCGTTATGGAGCCACTGAAACTCTGGCTACGCTGATGAGGCCTTAGTTGTGAGTCCACCAAGTGGCACCGGTGTGTAGGAACTGTCGAGCAATAATTATTTATATTTTGTGTTATAATAATAATTATAATAATAATTATTATTATAATAATAATTATAATAATAATAATTATTATATTATTATTATTATTATTATTATTATATTATTATTATTATTGCATGTGGGGAGGACTAAATCTATAGCGGAGTAATGAAAGGTGATCAGGTTTGATCTAAGGAAGGAGAGGTTAGGATATATTCCTCGGATCAAGAGCCCCTTACTAGCATCAAGGAACCTCCCTCATCAATACAGTTTGTATTCCTATTCTTACAGTTGTAATGTATCATTGTAACCACCCCACATATAATGTATTATATGTCTCCCAGGAACCCCTGTGTAGTGCTACTGACTCAGTATTCTCTGTGTATTCATTATAAATGTGATAATTGTATTTTCTTCATATATTTGTGTATCATTTTCCTGGAATGTGATTTTCCTGAATTTTAAAGTTCTACCTGGAGTCTACCTGGAGGGTATTCCGGGGATCAACGCCCCCGCGGCCCGGTCCACGACCAGGCCTTCCGGTGGATCAGGGCCTGGTCAACCAGGCTGTTACTGCTGGGTGTACTTTAAGTGCAGATGCTCTATTGTGAGGTGAAGCGGGATGCTCTACCTTTTTTCCTTCCTCTTCTCTCCTTCCTTGATCAGTCAGGCCAGCAATCAGGAGGCCTGGTCTGGGACCGGGCCGCGGGGACGGTGACCTCTGGAAGCTACCAGGTGAACAATTCCCCTCATCCAACTTGTTCCATTTCACCACTAACCTTAAAACTCAAGATATGTTTTCTGACACCTTCATGGCTCTTTATTTTGGTTTCCATTCATGTTCCCCTGTCCCTGAGCCACGCTTTTCAAAAAGTTATCTCCCTACCTACCCTGTACATTCCTCTGAATATCTTACACGTCGTAATCATAGTCTTCCTTACTCCTTTCTTACGTGTACGCGTATGTGTGAGATTAACAAGACTACTGCTGTGTTTATGGTTTTCTGTTATCAGTGTTTAGTTAACCGAATAGTTTTTACCTGAAGTTTATGTCGGTCTCTGAGAAAAAAAATAGTACCCCTTTTGAACACCGTCTCTCCTTAGTGGATGATTGTGGCTGCTTTTATATGTCGAATATGTGTGTGTGTGTGTGTGTGTGTGTGTGTGTGTGTGTGTGTGTGTGTGTGTGTGTGTGTGTGTGTGTGTGTGTGTGTGTGTGTGTGTGTGTGTGTGTACTCACCTAGTTGAGGTTGAGGGGGTCGGGTCCAAGCTCCTGGCTCCGCCTCTTCACTGGTCGCTACTAGGTCACTCTCCCAGAACCGTGAGCTTTATCATACCTCTGCTTAAAGCTATGTATGGATCCTGCCCCCACTACATCGCTTCCCAAACTATTCCACTTACTGACTACTCTGTGGCTGAAGAAATACTTCCTAACATCCTTGTGATTCATCTGTGTCTTCAGCTTCCAACTGTGTCCCCTTGTTACTGTGTCCAATCTCTGGAACATCCTGTCTTTGTCCACCTTGTCAATTCCTCTCAGTATTTTGTATGTCGTTATCATGTCCCCCCTATCTCTCCTGTCCTCCAGTGTTGTCAGGTTGATTTCCCTTAACCTCTCCTCGTAGGACATACGTCTTAGCTCTGGGACTAGTCTTGTTGCAAACCTTTGCACTTTCTCTAGTTTCTTTACGTGCTTGGCTAGGTGTGGGTTCCAAACTGGTGCCGCATACTCCAATATGGGCCTAACGTACACGGTGTACAGGGTCCTGAATGATTCCTTATTAAGATGTCGGAATACTGTTCTGAGGTTTGCCAGGCGCCCATATGTGTGTGTTAGTTACCATTTTGTCCTAGGCATATGTCGATTAGACACTAGGCCTGTGTGCATGTGTGTATGCATGTGTGTGTGTGTGTGTGTGTGTGTGTGTGTGTGTGTGTGTGTGTGTGTGTGTGTGTGTGTGTGTGTATTTCGTGTCACTTTTCTGGTCGTGTGTGTGATTGTCGTGTTAAGTTTTTCACTCATATCGCGCAATTTCTTTAGTCTTCAAAACTTACTTGCTTTCTTATGTTTAGCTGCCATACCTGTGATATACCTGTGACCGGTTTCCCCAGATGCTACTACCTTAGTAGGTTATTCAGTGTCCAGTCTTTAAACTTTAAAGAATGGACGTCACGGAGCCGTGGCTGGAACAGTTAAAAAATATATGGAGGAAACTTGAGACAACTTTTCGTGGCTTCGTTTCGAATTATTATCGCTTCACTTCCTCCTTCTTTTATCACATGACATGTTACATTCCTTCGCTCATCACTCCTTGTTCTCGATTTATCATTCTTCTTCTTTTAGGGATTCACAATCGCTCTTATTTGTTTCCTCGTAGTATTTTAGCGTCATCCACAAGCCTGATCTGATGTTTGTTATTTCCCTACTGGCGAGTCGTTCGTGAAATAACGAACATCCTTTTGGTGTTCCACGTTTTCGTTGCCTTCTAATTGAACCATTGTTCATTATGAAGAACAAAAAAAAAAAAGGCACAGTACCTTGACTCGAACAATACACAAATGACCCCGTGAATCATGGCGGTAAGTACAGACCTACGTAAGTCTCCGCTGGTGATACTTTAATATTAGCGTTTTCCTTCTTGTCATTGTTTTCATTTTCCTTGCAACGTTTCATCCAGTCATAATTTTCCCTTGTATGCCTTATATGATGTGCAGTTTCTAGACTAGCATTTAAAGAGTGGCGGAGCTGTCTTCAGCTAATTTCCAAGTCTAGAAAAGTTTGTAGTCTACATTATAAGTATTGGTGACTATACAAGTAGTTTAACAATTTGTTTGATAGACAGGATGTTTGATAGAATGTTTGAGAGGATGTTTATCCTATGTCGAAACCACTCAGGGTGAATACCAGGTCGTTTATTCTGCCTTCCTTATATATCCTGGTCTCCATGTCTTATCATGGTTAATAACTGTTGTAATCAGTGGTTGAGGGGGTTCTGCCCCCTACCTATGTACTCCTTTCTTTTCCTCAACCTCCAGGAGTAACTAGTCTTGTGTATACAAGTCATGCGCCCCCAGTCCCCTACTTCCCACTCCCCTGCTGTCTTCCTGAGCCTTCGACAATAATAACCAGTAACTAAGAGTGTTGTGTCCTCCCAGCCGCTGGACGATGACGACGTCAACTCGCTTCACGATGACAAGGACGTGTCCGGGGCGGACGCTGAGGGGGTGTGGTCTCCAGACATCGAGCAGAGCTTCCAGGAGGCTCTGGCCATCTACCCTCCCTGTGGCAGACGCAAGATTATCCTCTCAGACGAGGGCAAGATGTATGGTGAGTACCCCACACTCGCTTGTTGTTTTTCTCTCTCTCTCTCTCCATCTTCCCTATGTGTTTTTTGTGCTGCTGAGTTAGTCGCTTTCTTCATCCTCACGGGGGGTGTTCTTGTGTTGCAGAGGGAATTGTTATTCTTGTCTGGCAAGGGAAGGAGGGGAAGGTTTCACTGGCCGAGCGTAACTAAATGTGAACAAATACGTTATATCTTAATGTACATTTAGACCATAATGAAAGGAAAACACATTACAAACGCATGGACCACGGTTCGAGTCCATATATATATATATATATATATATATATATATATATATATATATATATATATATATATATATATATATATATATATTGTGTGTGTGTGTGTGTGTGTGTGTAATCTCTTTAACCGTATAGGTAATATAATAATAACGCACATGTAACTAAAAAAATAACACGATTATTTAAATTGATATTTAAATGGCCGATTTTAAAGAAGAAAAGTTATTTCTGTTGGTCTCAAGAACGTGGCTTTCCTCTAAGGTTTCGTCGCCAGGTCTTACTGGTTTCTGGTCTCGTGAGTCCTTATATGCCTGGTTTTGAATCTTTGTATTAAATTTACACCCACCGCTTTGTTATTCCAAATTTCTGCCACCCTGAAATTAAAAAAATTACTTCCTAATATCTCTGTGTATTGAATTTCACTTCTCCACGTATCATCTTCACTCATGATTCATATAGTCTTTCTTGTCTTTATTAGGAATTAATTTTATGATTGTATACGTGGTAATCAAGTCTTCCATAGTTCATATCACCGCCGCCAGGTTCATGTTCTTTACTCTCTGTTAGTATGTTCCTCGCCATTTTTAGTACTACTCTGGTTGTAAATTGGGGGTCAGTGCCCCCGCGGTCTGGTCCCAGACCAGGGCTCCTGGAGGATAAAGACCTGGTCCACAGTCCATCTGGTCAGACACTGATTTGAGTAATTTGTCCAGTTCTCTCTTTAAGATCACCAGGGGTTTGTTGGTAATTCCCTGTATGCATGGAGGGAAGGCGTTGAAGAGTCGGGGACCTCTGACACTCGGACTGCTCCACACTGGGGTCACGCACATAATAATGTGCTTAGCATTTGCCATGTATATAGTTCTAAACTATTCTTTGTGTGTGTCGTGTGGCAGTTGCAGGTGTGGTGGGTGAGAGTTGTGTTGGAGCCCCTTGTGTGTTAGTGTCTTTAGTCATGAACACACCCCTCAAGGCACTACCAACACCACTCACTACCACCACTCACTACCTCCACCACCACCACCACTACTACTACTACTACTACTACTGCTGCTGCTACTACTACTCCACTACTCTACTACTCTACTACGACTACTCTACTACGACTACTATACTATTACTACTACTATTACTACTACTATTACTACTACTACTACTACTACCCCTGTACTACTATTACTATAACTACTACTATTACACTACTATTTACTACTACTACTATTACTACTACTTACTACTTACTACTACTACTACTACTATTACTACTACTACCCCTGTTACTATACTACTACTACTATTACCACTACTACTGTTACTACTACTACTACTATTACTACTACTATTACTACTACTACTATTACTACTACTATTACTACTACTACTACTACTACTACTACCCCTGTTACTACTATTACTACTACTACTATTACACTACTACTACTACTACTATACTACTACTACTACTATTACTACTACTACTACTACTATTACTACTACTACTATACTACTATTACTGTTACTACTATTACTACTACTATTACTACTACTACTACTATTACTACTACTACTACTATTACTACTACTACTACTGTTACTACTACTACTACTGTTACTACTACTACTATTTACTACTATTACTACTACTATACTACTTACTACTAACTACTACTATACTACTTACTACTATACTACTACTACTACTACTACTACTGTTACTACTACTACCTACTTTACTACTACTACTATCTACCTTCACAACTACTCTACTATCTCACCTTACCCCTACCACCCAACTTACATGCTTCCTTCCAAACTTTCTCATTCCTCCATCGCTAATGTCATGCACAGTTGTTGATTTATGATGGGACGGGTGCGGGGGAGGGTATGTTGTTGGAGAGGGAGGGGGCGTTGGTGAAGGGACTATGTAATGGGGGTGGGGGGATGTGAGGGGTCGGGTACCACTAGCCTGTACAGGCACTGGGAGTGGGTTATTGGCAGTGGCTATACCGGTGATTGGACAATGGTATGTGTGGTTGGTTTTATTGGGTCTGTGAGGGGGAAGCCGATGGTCCCTATCTATCTTTCTATGTAGCGTACAGTGTTTCAGCCGTGTTGTATCTCTAGATAGTAAGCACTCGCAGGCAGGCACATAGTGTGCAATCGGCTGTGTGCCGCTGTCATTGACGTTCATGCGATCAAAGATTGTGGAGAAAGTTGTAAAGGGGAGCGTACTTGCTCACCTGCTGAAGAGAGGATTTGTTAGGAAGACCAGCATGGATTAAGGGATGGGAAATATTGTCTTACAATAGTACGAGAGTCTTAAGTCAGAGGAAAACAGAACAGTTTAGTCATGGATGGGTGGACTGCATTTTCCCAGTCTGCAAGAAGGCATTCGATAAGGTTCCTCGCAAGAGACTGATCTAAATGCTAGTATTTAAAAAAAAATATATTCTTATGAAAAGTCCATAAAATTCGAAATTCTCATTTCATATTTCGACTTTTATAATATTTTTATTTCTACAAGTACATGTACAAGGTATACAAGCAGTGACATAAAACTATATAGAAAGCCGCTTGTTGCATGCAAAGTATTTCGGGCAAATTAGGTCAGTTTTGTCCCAGAATGCCACTCACACTAGTCGACTAACATCCAGGTAGCCATTATTACTGATGGATGAACACGGACAGCCAGTGTAAGGAAACACACCCAGTGTTTCTACCCTTGCCGGGAATCGAACCAGGGACCCTGAGCGTGTGAAAGGAGAACTTTGCCTACCAGGCCACGGCCCACCTGTTCAGAGTAGTTGGAGGCATTGTCTGACAAACTACATTTTTTCGCTAATTACGTCGATTATTGCACTTTTAATCGAACCGGCTGGAAGAAAAGGTAAATCTCTCCAGTGGCTCCAGGGAGCACATGAAAGACAAGATAGTAACAATATATGGAGCATCATAATAGCTGCTTCAGAGTGTAACGGAGATGACACTCTTAGTGTTGTTTCAGAGGCCACGGAGATTTTAAAGGGTAATGTCAGTCAGTGACGACAACACATTTTGTGTTCCAAGAACAACAAAAGCAATGTCAGCAGACCTGCTGACCCAAGCACAAGCAGCCCCACGCTCAACTATTTTCACTGTCATGTTCTTGAGAACATTGTTGTTGTAAAGCATCACTACAGTGGTCTTTATAATAGACCTTGTGGGTGTGACTCTGCAAGTGATATTCAAAATCTCTTCTCTTGGTTAGTGTTCAAAGTTACGTTTTACTGTTTTTTTTTTAACATAATTGGATATAAAGGCAGTGTGCGGCTGCCTGTTTACCTGTGATTTACCTGCACTAGTATATATGATATTTACATATTGGGAACAGAAGGTAAGTAAGTTTATTTAGGTACAGGTACATATAAATACAGTTACACAAATTATCATACATAGTAAGTATTGTATTCGCTTAAAAAAACACTGTTTTGTGGATGCATTATTAGTAACGTAGGTGTAAATTACCTGGGATCCCCCCCCCCAAAAAAAAGTCAAAGTTTCCCTTTGTTTCTATCAGATGGATGGTGTTCATGAAACTTGCCAGCCTAAGCTGAGAGACACTGGACGGTGAGGATATCGTTCAGGTATTCTGGTGTGTCTACAATAACTACGGCAGCTTTTTAAGGTTTGGTTGGAGCAGAACAGGAGATAAATGGAGGAGCGAGAGGTGTTGTGCTTGGAGGGAGAGAGGTAAGTGGAGTGAGTGGGGTGGGGTGGGTGGGTTGAGGGAAGAGTGGTAAGTGAAGAAGTGAAGGGTGTGGTGGGTTGGGAACTCTGGCTGCTCAAGGTCACCAGCGTTCCTTTGTTGATACTTGGAACATTGTTATTGTTCCTGGCTGCCTTACCTCGCCCAGCCCACCTTCACCTCTCCGCCCACCACCCCGTTTCGCACCCCCACCCCCACGTAGGTGAGGTTTGTGCCTGAGAATAAGAGTGACTTCTCTGTAAGGGGTGCCACTCTCCCCACACAGTGCAACGTTCCACAGGGTACATGTCAAAGAACCCAGCATCGTAGCGTATATGGTGGGGATACTTCCCCTTTCGTCTAAATTTGATAACAGCCAGTGACGCGGAAGGGATTGAAGATGAAAAAGTAGACTGAATAATTGTAGTTTGTGTTTCTGATTGATGTAATAAGAGAGTGACCTGGTGAGGACAGTAGCAAGTTGATGATGATAGTGAGGTAGGATGATTGAAGTACTGTATCACCCAGTGTTCTGGTGCTATAGTACTTGGTATAAACTTTACCCCACTCTGCCCACCACCCTGCCCCACCATGCCCCTCCTCAACCACAACCCTGTCCCAGCCACCACGCACTACCCTGCCAGTCACCATCCTCTTCCACTACCCTGCCCACCCACAACCCAACCCCAACCACAATCCTTCCCCTTCCATTACTTTGTTCCACCCACTACCCTGTCCCACCCCTTCACCTTCCTCATTTCCCCACCCACACCCGTAACCCCTCCCACTGCCTCCCCACCCACACCCGTAACCCCTCCCACTACCTCCCCACCCTCACCTGGTTTCACTATAAAAAAATACCACAATTTCAACTGGGATTGCTGAGGCAGCCTGGGCGAGGGGTGCCTCAGAAGGGTATTCCTGGGGTACCTCTGTGCCCCAGGAATACCCTCCTGGGGCACAGAACTATGCTCCTCCTGGGGCATAGTTCTGGGGCAGCAGTAATTTCTTGGGA